CAAAAAAAAAAAAAAGAATCACAAAAGTCAATCCCACAATAGAAACTAGAATCAGATATCTAATTATGCAACCCCTGAAAATGTATATTTTTTAAAACTTCAAATATGTCATTGTGAATTTATTTTATTTTTGGGGGGTGCCTAGAGCTACCTACCATTCTCGGATATGGTAAACAAGACAGAATAATTCATATTTAAACTGCAAATCTCACTTGGTCAACTAAAACAAATTTTAAATAAATAGGAAAAATTTCCAGGTTACCTTTAATTGAATTTGAAACCCCCAGATGGAACGGGAGGTGCACCATCCCCAAAGTTGAAGCCAGAACGTTGAGCATCATCAGAAGGCACTAGCTGCTCATCATCTTCTTCCAACCAATATGTTTCGAGTATCTTAACTGCCTTCTCATAAATCTCATTGTTATCATGTGATTGGAGATTTTCAATTTTTTCAAGACCTTCTGCATCGTCAATCATCTGTGCAAAGACATTCACATCCCCCGTGTTACCTTGAGTCTTCTCGGCTTCTCCAACTTTTAGAATGTTCTCAAGACCTTCCAAGCAGACCGTGACAATTCTTGGGTCGGGACAAACCAGTAGGTCACACAAAGGCTTTATGCATCCCTCATGCACCAAAAATCTGAAATCGTAATTTGAGTGAGTATTTACCATAATTAGGAGGGAAAAAAAAAACTGTAGCAGAATATTATTGTACTTGATTTGGTCATGAGTTCCACCAGAAGTGGCATTAGAAATAGCCCAAGCAGCTTCTTTCTTTATCTCAAATTCAGCATTTTGAAGCAGACGAACTAGAGGGGAGATTACGCCAGCATCGATCACAGCCTGTTTATTTAAATGACAAAGCCTGAGTCACTATTGGCGTGAACTTAAAAAGACTTGGATAAGAAGTCTTCGTGAAACATAAATAACAAGGAAGCCCATCGGACTCCACAAGAATGAAAATTTGAGTAAGTGATGCAAAGGCTTACGGCTCATAAACATCAGTGCGTGCTATGGCATGGTGGATTGTTAACAACCCGCCATTAATATTTAATAACATTGATAAGCATAAACCAAAAACGACTCATGGAATCTATTAGTTTAGAAACCAATGCATAACAACTCCACCACTCCCTGCATACCTGAATCTGCTCTTTATTTCCTGCAGTAATGTTTGAAATGGTCCAACAAGCTTCCTTTTTTATGCTTTTCTTGTGATTTTGGATCAACAAGTTAAGGAGGCATTGGAGAGCTTGGTGATTGATGATAACCTAATTATCATGGAAACAAATAACACGGAGTGCCCGTTTCCAAATTAATAAACAAATTAATAACGCATCAATGCTCGAAGTAAACAGGTTAACAAGAAGAAAGTTCCAAAACTGTATCAGATAAAACATGATGAATATGAAAAATCTTTTACTAAGTCTCTGCCAACTTCACGAGTCATGACCTCACAAGACCAAGTTTAGGAAGTTTCATTCCTTTCTATATGATGTTCGTTTCCAGAGATGCACACAAAAGGCATAGGCAAAACTTTGGAACTATATTTATAATCAAGATATCAATGTCTGAAGATAGAAGTATAACAATCATAGCCAAATACCTGGGTCTGGACATCATCACCAGTCACAATATTGCCAACTGTGCGCAGGGCCGGAATCAAAACTGATGGTGAAGGATGACTACGAAACCCAAAACAGAAAATAAAGGAAAAAAATGAAACACATCCAGTCAGAAAGTGCATAAAATGTTAAATAAACAAAATCAAAGGATTGATATACACAAGCATGGTTTTGCTTTTAGGAAGAAAACACAAAAATCTATCACTTACAGTAAAAGCTCAATCAGACGAGGGCACACACCAGCCTCAATCACAGCTTGGATTTTATCATTAGTGCCATCAGATAGATATGAAAGTGCCCAGCAAGCATCTGTAAGGACTTCTTCATCATTTGTATGTATGAGACGAGTAAGAGCAGCCAATGCTGGTTTGACCTGCTCAACAGGATTCCAATTAAGATAGGTGACGTTATTGAGGGGAGTGAAAACAATAAAGTAACCCGACAGGTTGAAACATAAATGCAGTACAAACCTGCTCGAACTGTGGCTGCGGCTTTCCTCGACAAAAATTTGACAACGTCCACGTCGCATTTCGCAACATGGACAATTTTGCCTGATCATTAAATTGTGCTAACAAAGGCACTAAAGCCCCATAACCAAGGACAAGGTCGCGACACTTTGGCGAGTCACCAGCAACATTTCCTAATGCCCAAACTGCCTGCAGATAGATTAAAAAATTTTAAAATGGTAAAATCAAAGCAAAATAATTAATCCATCAAATATTCATTATATACCTGTTCGCGCACGTCATCACTTGGAGAACTAAGAAGTCGGACAAAAATTGGAACAGCACCATGATCAATCACAACGTTGGTATTTTCAGAAGTTCCAGAAGCAATGTTTGTGAGGGCCCACGCTGCCTCAAACTAGTAACGGGAAATTAACTACATAAGAAAAACATCAAATCTGACAATAACAGCCTGCAGAGATTAGCCATAAATTCATACCTGAAGTTGAGGGTAATCATCTCGTCCGAGAAACTCAACAAAACGAGGAACAACTCCAGATTGTATAACTTCCTCAATTGGCGGATTTCTCTCTGTTGAAATACAACCAATCAGAAGCCCATTAAAAGAGAGAAATCTCAACCAAAAATATGCACATAGAACAAATCCCAGTCAGTTAAATTCATTAAACACAAATGATAGTTAAATACCTATTGAGAGAAGTTTACGGAATTGAGTTGTAGCCTCTAGCTGCAGATTAGCATCATTAGACCAAACCCCAGCGATCATCGCAGGAAGGCTTTCCAACTGAAAATTAACATCAAACAGAGCTCACTCAAATCCAACTAAACTCTAATCAAAGCTCACAACCATGATACACATTTCAATGGCCAAGATCAGTAAAAAAAACCACACCGTGCTGCAGCAGATCACACAGATCAATCCAGAACACACGAAATATCATCGGATCGGATCCAGATCATTCGAAAAAAAAATCCTCTAAAAGACTTTTTACCTTCTTGTCGAGCGGCTGAACATTGACGGCAGGCTGAAATTGCTGAGCTTGGAGCCCCTCGCGCCGCTTCTTCAGCAGGTTCTCCTCTCGTTTGTTCTTTCGGATCTCCACCATGTTGTCCTCCCTCCGGCGTCGTCCCTCGTCCGCGTCCACCGCCACCTTGTACCGGCTCCGGCGGACCTCCGCCCTCGAGTTCGGCCTCAACGACATCGTTCCGTCGATCCGCTCGAACTAGTAGAGAAATAATCAAACAATCGGAGATCGATCCTCCGTACGTGACGGATGATGATAGTGCACGGGAACAATTTGCAGAAGACGGCAGGATTTTTTGGGGTTGAAATGGAGGCCGATGATTGTAGTGGAGGTGCCCCACTTTTCTGGTTCGCACTTGGGCTCGGGTCGTGTGTTATTAACGATTATGCCACTACTCAAATTTACAACTGTGCCACGCAAATATTTAATTTTCAATAATTTAAAA